GCCCATCTGCAGATCCGACACCTATCAATCCACAGCTCATCATTCGCAAGCCAAAAGGGGAAGTCACTCGCCTCTCTCGTGAGGGATACAATCTCAGAGATGCTCTGGGATGGACGGAGGCTGTGTACTTGGATGTACAGGTGAGAGTACCCGTAAATGATCATAGTACAGAACTCTGGACATCTACATCTACAGACTGCGATACATAAGCTGGCAGGCAACCATCTTACGCCTGTACCGTTCTCGAAGCAGAAAGCTGTTGACCTTCAGAAAGTCTATGATCTGGTTGGTAATTGCACTTGATTGATGTACGTTCACAGACTCTAACTACTGGATGCAGGCTGCTGACACTTATCCAATCCTCCGCCAATACGAAAATAATTGGGTCACATCTGATTTCCTTCGTGTATTTTTGAAGAACAAGTCTGCAGCGATCAAGAGGAAGACCGCAGTATCATCTTAAATGGGCCGCTGTTTCTAATTTTTCTTTGCCGCCTCATCAGAGCATGTTAGTCTTTACTATACTTGAAAAATCACGTATCGCTTACAAGGTGGACTATGTTGAGTGAAATAGACTGTCACAGAAGCGAGCAAGCCAAGGTGTGATGCCAGCAAGCACAATTCATGAGACGATCCCGAAGCACACCTTCTCAGCAGGTGACGTCGCTAGGACCGCTATATCTTACAGGCAAGGCAGACATCAAAATACGGAGAGAGCCGCTGATGCCTCGGACGAAAGACTCCATATTCTACTGCGATTGCCGGACATTCTTGTGCAAGAAGAAACCCGTCAGTGAGAAAGTGTTCAGATCGCATAAGTCATACGACGAGCAGCAGAAGAGGATTCAGGAGGTAAATCCCGTGCAATCTATCAAGAACTGCCTCTTAATCCTTCTATATAGAAAAGAGCCAACGAGCCACACACAGCAGTGAGGAAGCAGGAGAGGATTCAAGAGGTCAGGCCTGCACGATTTATGGGAACTACCCCTGATGATTTCTGTTAGGAAAGAGTCGACAATTTGTGCACAGCAGGGAGGAATAATGAACAGGCAAGGGCCGATTCAGATAGCGAGAGTGCACTCGCATCGCTAGTCTTCGCTGCAATGTTAGGAGAGACTTCGTCATCTACGGGGTTCTCAAACGGCTTGTGGACGTGTGAGAAGACCGACGTTGACGGAAGCACAGTTGCTCGAGAATCACAGAATGCCTCGCACGGCACCAGTGCACAGAGACCTCCTATGGCGATGGTACAAACCGTTCCCGCAGTACTGTCTGTTCCTGCAGAGAAGACCGACATTGACCGAAGCACAGTTGCCCAAGAATCACGGAATGTCTCGCACAGCTCCAGCGCACAGACACCTGAACTTGTGTTCAACAAGTTCTATCTCATGGATATGGAGCTGGAGTTGCGCACGCGACACTGTAACGATCTCTATAACAAGGCTATAGATACTCCAGAATGGAGTCCGGAAGCGTGCAATGTGGTGAACCAGTTGCAGGAGGAGGAGATCTGGGCTGAGCGTGCTGAGAAGGAGATTCGAGACGCCGAAGTTGGGAGGCATTGTCCTGCAATGAAGGCGCTGAGGAACGCATTGCTGGAAAACATCGAGAAGCACCGCAGGTGTCTGCGAAAGCAGATGTCATGGGTTGGAGGTCGCATACCCAATCCTGTCATGAAACTCTCGGGCAAGATTGTCGACACTAGTGCGTAGCTTCATTACTCACTTTCAAAAAACTGCTCACTCATTTTGATCAGGTAAACACTTCGATCGCCCTCTTGATCACATGAACCCTCTCCTAATCCTGTCGATCTTTGCCGCGTTAGTGCTGAACTTGTTGGGTGGAGTCACTCGCAGATCCTGCAATTTTTTCCTTCGTATGTTCGGAATTGTTGTTGCGTGTGCCATGCAGGAAGATGGTCGACCAACCTCCAAGGAAGAAGAAGCCCTGAAAGACTTTCCCTCTGACATTCGGAGTGTCCGAAAGTTTTTCGACCTTGAACCGGCTGTGACTGTCTTTGCAGCCTGTCCAAATTGTTCATCGACATACGAGCCCTCATTTAGATCTGGCATCCCAATCTATCCCGCCCGCTGTCAATCTCGGAGATGGAAGGAGAGCGCACCATGCAACACAAGGCTGACAATCCATGGCGTGTGTGATAATCAAAGCATACGTCTACCGCGACGACCATTCGTCATGCAGGATTTCGATGAATTTGTAGGGAGATTGCTCTGCAGACCAGGAATGGAGGAAGCACTGGCAATAGACACACGAACTACACCAACTGGCCAATTGTACGACATCAAAGATGGCTCCATGATGAGCGAGTTGATAGGCGAGGACGGAAAGCCTCTCGTTGATGCTCCCAAGGACGAGCTACATCTACTCTGGGGCCTCTCTGTGGACTGGTTCAATCCCTATCTCAATAAGGTAGTGGGTAGAACCGTCTCGGAGGGCTCAATCATCATGAGTTGTCTCTCCCTGCCTCATAGTCGACGATACAATGCGGAGAACTTGTATCTTGTGGGGATGATCCCAGGGCCGAACGAGCCATCTTTGGAGGAAGTCGATCATTTCATACGACCGTTGATCGACAAACTTCTTGTCTCGTGGAAGGAAGGAGTCTGGTACAATCGGACGTGCCGGTATCCTCGAGGGAGACTCGCGCGTTCTGCGCTGGCATTTTTGTGCTGTGACCTACCTGGAGCAAGAAAGGTTTCTGGCATGGCCGGCCATGGAGCAATGTGTTTTTGCACCTTATGCTTCCTGACCTTGCGAGAAATTAACAACATCGACGTAACCAGCTGGACGCTGAAGACACATTAAGACATCATCAGATTTGCTGAGGAATGGCGTTCCGTGAAGACAAAAACTCAACAGCGTGCCGCTTACTGAGGAAACGGGGTGCGCTGGTCTGAGCTGATGAGACTGCCATACTGGGATCCAACTCGCAGTGTTGTCATGGATGCGATGCACAACCTTTTTCTGGGGCTTGTTCAGTATCACATTTGCACCATTATAGGCATGGACATGCCGAACGATGATGACTATCGTGATGAATTTGATGCCGCAGAGGACCCGGACAAGCTGAAGGATGATGTACAAAAGCAAGCGGACAAAATCAGAAAGCTTTTGCAATTCGATCCCACAGCGAAGCAACTTGGCCGTTACACAAGGCATGCTCTACGAGTAGTGTGCCGTGAGATGGGTGTTGAATCGAAGTCATGGAGATCTACAAGGAAACTGAAGAAGAAGTGGTTGATTGACGCGTTGCTGGTACGCATGATATTCGCAACACAAGGGTTATCGAACTGATTGTAGCAGAGCTTACGCACTTTGGAATTTGCACATTCGCCGACATCCGATTCAAGATCTCTGTTACCTGGCGAAACAATTATTGGAGATGAGCTCATCAACGAATGCGCACATCCTAATATAAATCACACATCGACTCACGATGATCAACCGGCTATCGTCTTCTCTCTCAAAGATCTGGATCATCTGCGCGATGATATCACTCAAATGACTCGCCCAACCTATTCGAGTGGTCCACCACGCAACATGGGCACAAAAGCACGCAGAAAGCTCAAAGTTGACCATTGGAAAGCTTTGATCGAATTCGAGCTTCCTGTCTCCATGATGAAGAGATGGAATTCCTCCCCGGCTCGTATCTAACCAGACGACAATGTGCGACGTGAATTGATCCAATTGACGATGTTACTTGCTTGTGCAGTTCGGTGCGCCACATCCTACACTACCTCTGTGGAGCATCGCGACAAGTACACGGGACACATGCACGCCTACTTATCACGTTTACTATGGCTGCATCCTGGAATAACACTGAGAAGAAACCATCACAACACGATGCACTTAGGAGATTTCTTATTACGGTTTAGGCCGGTACAAGGCTAGTAGATATTCCCATTTGAGAGGATTATAGGGATTTTACAGCAAACGACAACGAATAGCAAACTTGGTCAGCATTGTTTGCAATTGATCGACAAAGGCTTACGTATTATTCCAGGACAAATGGAAAGGACCATGTTGGAGTCATTCTGCGCAGCGGCCAATATCAAAGCGTTCCTGAAGCATGCCGAATGCCCGACTGTCCTCCAGAGATGTGTGTCCGTCGTTGAGAGTTGTTATTAGCATGACAGCCGTGGAACGTTGATGACAGACATACATAAGTATCTCAATGTGACAGGCAGCAAAGCTACAGCGAAAACCGCAATACATTGGAAAGATTGAAAAGACATTACAAGCGATGTCTACGATGCATTGTCATCAATGATGGATGCATTATCCATGGAACTTCAGAGTTGGCAGCTCATACCAAGGGCAATCCATCACCGTCTCTTTAAGATACACGGTGTTCAGTATTCCGTGTATCACGCAGGAGAAGCCAACAGCATCGTATTCTTCCAGCCTGCCATTGGTATGGCTATGGTGCCAGGAATCATTCGTGATATATTATCTGTCCCAACAGCGGACTACACGGAAAAAAACCAGGAGGCACACGTCCTCCTTGTCGTGCACCAGTATTGCCCCAAATCTGCTGACATAACTGACCCATTCAATGACTACCCAGACTTCGGCGCGTCCATCTGGTCAAAGACACTTGCAGAAAACATCGAAATCGTTCCACAAAGCCGTCAGCTGTATCACGCGCTTCGACAGGAATGGGATTCTACCACTTACGTCTTCAAATCTCTTGTAAATCAATGTATATAGTACACAGAATACAGACTCAATCGAAAAAACTGCGTGCACATCGTAGTTGGAACGGACCTGCTTGTCTCGGTGGTCTTGTCACCACTAACATGACCGTTGTTAGATACATGCCTACGAGTGGCACTGGAGTATGGCGAAGGATAGTCTCGATCTAGAAGCACCGTCAAATATCATAACCTGTGAGGATTTTTTTTTCTTTCTCATTGTGTCCTTGCTCACAGTACACCCAGACATGCATGCCGGTTCTGATCCCGATGCTGTCACAGTATTAAGTGGCACCTTTCTTTTTGCACCATTAAAGTCCTCATTTGAGTGGTTATTCGGATGCCAACCTTCATATTGGTCTCACAACGTGGATACTTGGACAAACAGCACAATGCCGCCACATACATCACGGACATGACTGTGTCTACCACATGACCACCAAGCGCCCATGATTCAGCCACTCAGTTATGTGACACTGGCCACTTGCCCTATTCGGAAGTTGTCAGGTGTTGGTCACGTGACACCAGGCCACTTGCCCAGAAAGGAACCCATTGGACCATCAAGCTAGCAAGCACCCAATTCGCCACTCAAGATAGTGGCACCACTTTGCTGCCTAAACCAATAGGCAGATACCACAACAGAGGAT